CTTCCTTCCTTCCTTCCTTCCATCCTCCCTTCCTTCCTTCCTTCCTTCCTTCCTTCCTTCCATCCTACCTACCTACCTACCTAGCTGCCTACCTATCTACTCTAACGCTAAAATATATAAACGTTCATTTTACAGTACAGTGTTATATATTGTTATTCATTGATCTTTTTGCCACAGACCTATGTAACAAGGCTTTTCCGAGTATTGCCAGGATCACGAGTTTTACTCGAACCAGTAAGCAGCATCTTACAACACGAGGGGGAAACGTTTGCGCATGCGCCTCAGACCACTGGCAATTCTAGGACATCTTGTATTATAGCCAGTTGTCTGGGACGCATGCTCAGTCGAATACCGCTGTGTTCCTTGATTACAGACTCATTTAATCAAGATTTCACAAACGCCAACAGTAAAATATAGAATGCATGACAAACACTTTGAAATTCCAAGGACCTTCACTCGAATGCATGAATATTGTACAAAAAATAGAACCTACCCTCGAACAACAAGGAACTGACAACTTGAGCATTACATCCATAACACAAAGACGTTGGCTAATTCACATTCAGCACAGTCAATCGGATCATGAGGGCAGTTTTGGCCCTATAGTGGCCTCCTTAAAGTAGGGCTATTTTGGCACTACCGGTAGGGGCCATTTTTTTAAGCTCTGATTTTGGGACTGTTTTAGCCCCTTCTATGGGTTTTTTCCCTGATTTGGCCTAGTTGAGGAGGCCAAAACAGTACTGATAGACCCATACCAAAATGGCTTCTGTGGGGCCAAAATGGCATTGTTCTATTTTGGCCCTAGCCTGGGCTAAAATAGCACTAATTTGAAAAAGCCAAAATGGCGCTCTGGGGCCAAATTGGTCCTCTCAAATTTACTGTGAGTATAAGAGCATGCGCAGACGTTTTTCTTTTGTCTTTCTTACTTTTTTTGGTATAAAAGCTTACCAATGTTTTCCTATGCATCTCTGCTTCAGGTTTCGCCCGTGGCAAACTCATTAGACCCCAATTTCACCTTCGTTCTTGATGCAGGTCTTAAGATATTCATCTGGTCAGGTCCAAAAGTAAGTGTCAATCAAAACCTACGATACTAGTCATTTGTTGTGGTGAAAGAAGAGAGATTTGTTATTTTCTTCTGAATGTAAACGGTTGTGATAAACTTTTTTTTTCAGGCAAAAGCCACGACCAAGACTAAAGCAAGGTATTGAACGCATGTCCGGCAATGCAAACAGGCATGCAGACAAACAGACTGAGAGAGACAAACACGGACACACTGCAGGAAGACAGACAGAAGATACAGTACAGACAGAAGATACAGTACAGACAGAAGACACAGTACAGACAGACAGTAACAGTACAGAGACAGCCAGACAGACGGATACATTCGTTCAAGTAAAGCAGACAGACTAGAGACAGTGACTGACAGGAAGACAGACAGACAGATACGATACAGACAGACAGTAAAAGTGAAGAAACAGACATACAGTACAGTACAGTAAAGACAGTTACAGATAGACAGAGACAGAGTGACTAACAGGCGTACACTCAGGCAGCATTTTATTTTTCTATCAACACCAAAAAATGGCTACTTAAATCGTATTTGATTTTATCTTTTCGTGTAAAGTCTTCATTTTAATATGAACACTTTATGAGTACCTCTAATTACATGGTGCATTTTTCAGATTATTTTCAGAGAAAACCAATAAAAACGAACGCAAAAACAAGGCTGAGATTATCATGTGTCAAACGGTTAGTGATAATGTGATGATGATAATTATTATTATCTATTCGCTGTTAGTATTGATGATGATGATGATGATTGTGATAAGGGTGATGGTGATGGCGATGATGGTGATGATGGCGATGATGGTGATGATGGTGATGATGGTGATGATGGTGATGATAATGATGATGGTGATGATGATGGTGATGGCGATGATGGTGATGATGATGATGATGATGATTTTCAATCTTTATTTTAAACTAATTAAAAAAATTCCCGTCTTCATTTGTTTCAGGCTGATGAACCCAAAGAGTTCTGGGAATTACTGGGTGGACACCCATCAGAAGGACGCATAACGGTGTGTTACCTCAGAAGCTTAAAGATATTGACTGGGGCCCATGTAGTTCCCCTAATTTCCCTTATCATAAACTTTAAGTTGGATTTTCTTGGGCAGATTCACTTTTTTCTTGAAAATTTTAGTGAAACACAAAGGAACTAACCTACACGTTTGTTAAGCAATATACAATATTCGTGTCCGTGTTGTATACGATATATCAACTCGAGGCGTACCACTCATACTGTATATATTACTTACTGTACAAAGATATAAGCGGCCGATTTATATTCCTTAAATATAAACTTGATTTTTATTCTCCATGTTTGGTAGGTCAAGCAAGAGTACAAAGAGCCGCCTCCCTCGCCAATCCTGTATAAGATGGCCCTTGGTCTTGGTTATCTAGAACTACCACAAGGTACAGGCTAAATCTTCTCTAGAACCGTACAAAACAAACCCTCAACAGCAGGGCATTGCTTACTATCAATCACGTGACTTTTTGGAGTTGACTGGGGGGCAAACAAGCGGTTGACTGGGGTCAAAACATATCAAAATAAGTCCTCAAACTATTGTATCTGACTATTTTCACGACATCAAACCAGAAAACAAGAGATCAAAACAACCTCCAGGATTCTGCAAGCCAACAAAAAAGAGCTATTACCGGAAGTGACGTCTATTGATAGCAACCTATTTGTAGAGCACATGCAGCAAAACCATGAAATAAAAACAAAAGTTGATACTGACTAAATGATGGGTTGCAAGCATTCCCAAGAGAGTCAAAAGACAAAAACATGGCGGCCATTGTGGTACCGTTATCAACGGTGGCTAATGAGAAATCTTTTGTTGAATGGTACCAACATGGCCGTGATGACGTAACGTGCAATCGAAGAATAGTACTATTTAGTGAGTAATAGTTGCTATCTCTCAACCAAAACATTCATCACCAAAAAAAACAAATAGTCTCTTGTGTATTTGTCTTTTTATTATCTCAAATATTTTATATTAATGTATGTTATATATCATAGTTTTGATCTCCTTTTTACAGTTGATATTCCTGGGGGAAAACTAGTACAGAAGCTTATGGACACCAAGAATGTATATATCATGGATTGCTTCACTGAAATATTCGTATGGTATGTAGATAGAGATTACTTCATGGAAAGTGCACACATACTGTTTTTATTCACGAGTTGTGAAGTATCATAAAACAAAACTAGAAAGTCTAGAATTTTTTTGTTTTACGATTACGATTCTCACGCCAGTATAAATGAATCTTTATAGAAAGAACGGCTGGTGCGCACGGCTATTGCGTAACCTTTCACCAATTTGTTCAATCTCGTATCCAGAGCCTGCATTTCTCCTGGCCTGCAGCGAAGAACGAGGGCTCTGGCATAATCCATTTTTTGAGACCAGGATTTCTTGGACTTCCGGTTCAAGAGCGCATGCGTTCAAAGACTTGCCAAAATTTAAAAATATTCTTGATCTTTACTTTGAATTTTTCTTCGATTTTTGCTTTGATTTAATTTTTAATTTGATTATTTTGATCGGTTATATATCTCTTTTTCGAAAATTGCGCATGCGCCAAAAAATAGATTATGCCAGAGCCCTCGTTCTTCGCTGCAGGCCAGAAGAAACGCAGGCTCTGGGTACGAGATTGCAATTTGTTCTATTTCTCCTTTTTTTCAACCAACATGGCTGCCGCGTAAGAGTCTTTCTTGCCAAGATACAACGTGGTCTAGCGCGCAAAATGCACCATATCTTTCTAACTTTTTTAATGGATTAATATTAATTAGGATTGGACGCAAATCAGCCCGTCTTGTTAGAGCTGCAGCCATGAAGCTTGCTTTGGAGATCAACTCAATGATAGACAGACCATCATTCGCCATGGTCACCAGGACCTTACAAGGGTAGGTCTTAAGTAATCACGGCTAAAGATGAAGGTTGACAAACTGACAACGTCCGACGTACAACAGTCATTTCACCGGTTACATACACCTAATCGAAAAATGGCGACCAATAAGCCTTTTCATAGTTTAAGAATCGATTCCACTGCGCATGCGATTTTATCCCGAATTTCTCACCTTCTTTTGTCTAAACCTTCTTTTGTTCTTAATTAAACAAAAGAAGGTTATAAATTGGGGATAAAATCGCATGCGCAGTGGAATCGTTTCTTAAACTATGAAAAGGCTTATTTGAACAACTATTGTTCTGCACTGACTAGCGACTGACTATCCTCTCATACATGTGAAAACGCTTTTGTGTTTCCACGTGAACACGAGGCTAGTCAGTCACTGGTTGGTGTAGAACTATAGTTATTCAAATTAGAACATGCGCAATAGGTAAATTACGAGCCTTGTATGAAACGACTGAAGAAGAGGGCCAATGGGCCTTTCACAACTTCAAGTCGCGTAAAAAATGAGTCAGCTCAACTAGAAACCGTGGACAGCTGTTTCGGCCTGTATTGGACCTAGTTATTCAAATTGTTTGGCATATTTCGATTAGGTGCATTGACTAGTCGCATGTTGATCAGTCCCATTGAGCAGCTCTTAATTTTAACTGTAGCAATGATTTTTTCCTATATAATCGCACACTTGACTGCAACAAGTTGATTCAGTTCATGAAGCTATTTATTTTATATAAAGGCTTGGCACCATTCCGTGCCTGCGCCCATAATACAGCTTGGGCTGTCTGTGGTTAGATGGCAGAACAATAAAATCCCTTTGCTCTTGGGAATTGAATTCTTACTTATGTAAAACGACTGTATCGTTCCTACCGTCCAACATGGATGCCGTCACGTGATGGTGCAAAACCTCTTTATACTTTTTACACTATTCATATCTCCAAAACTTAATGACGCTTCCTTATTGACATTGCCCCCCCCCCCCCCCCCCCCCCCCCCCCCCCCTCCCCACTCATCAGAAAACTATCTAATATTAATAACAGTGCTGANCCCCCCCCCCCCCCCCCCATGCTTGCGCACTAATCAGAAAACTATCTAATATTAATAACAGTGCTGAGTCGCAACTCTTCAAGTCCAAGTTCATTGGCTGGGATGATGTTCTAGCGATAGACTACACACGATCAGCCGAGACTGTATCCAATCTGGCCAAGAAACTTGGAACAACGGTAGGGGTGTAATTTCAATAGAGAAATTTAGTTTCAAGACGCGAACGTCAAAAGACGACGGCGCGACCGCATATTTTCGTGCGCGCGCCGTCCTCAACGTAGTTGGCGTCCTGGGCCCGGTTGTACGAAACCTGGATAGCGCTATCCGACGGGTAAATCTTATCCAGTGGATCAATTTATTGGAAAACAGCAGCGACGTATCTACTGGATAAGGATTTATCCGCCGCCGGATAGCGCTATATTCACCCTTTGTACAAACGGGCCCTGGTCAGGACGTAAAAATGCTGCAAATGGCGTCCTGTTGAGGACGTCAACCACGTTGAGGACGGCGCGCGCACGAAAAAATGCGCTCGCGCCGTCGTATTTTGACGTTTGCTTCTTGATGCTAAATCGCTCTAATATCAAAAATACGCGTGCGTGCGCACCCGATATTACTCAGAGTGGTTTAGTTGTTTACCCCTCGCCTCTCACCACTGTTGTACGGGTTCGAGCCCTGGCTCAGACTGGATATGTGAGTTAAGTTTTGTATGTATTAATTATAGAATGTGGCAATAGTGCGTGTTGGGGGTACCTCACGGAACAACCCCTTACGGGGATTGGGTTGTAAAATATAAGTTTTAAGTTTAAAGTAGTTATATATAACTCGGCCTGACTTGTTTCTTATGCGAATCTCTACAGAATATCACTAATAAGCAAGCACAGGAAAAGCTCAAGAAGACTGCAAAGGTAAGATTTTAAGATTTCAATAGCTGAGTGGATGCGAGTAGAGTTGCTTGTTGGTTCTCTCCTGCGTTTGAGTATTCATTCTCCATGTTCTTTCCTTCCAAAAAAAAAATCAACTTGCTTGGTGAAGGTTTCGTTGCATCTTTCATGTTGCTAACGAAGCTTGAAATGTATTATATTATGTAAATAATATAAAAGAAAGAAAAGCATGAGAAAATGTATCAGAATAACGTACTGGCGTGCTGGTGGTATTCACATTATTCCCATAGTTAAATTCGGGCTTGGTATGCAACATGTTTATTTATTTATTAGCTTTTCCCATGAGGGAAGGAAGACCAAAACAGCTTTTTGCCAATTACAGTAGGCCCTGTAGAGTTTAGCACGGGCACCGAAGGTGGTCGTCATCAGCGTCTTTAGTGGGTCTTTTACGTCCGCCTTATACAGGGTTATATAGTGAAGAGAGACGAGGCCTACAGTTTTAAGTCCTTGTCCGAGAAGACTTGAAGGTCTAACCATTTGTAGGCGTAATTACAAAGGCAGCACCTTCTCAGTTTTTTTAAGACCCTGTTTGTTGGTTCGGCCAAGGCTTGAATCACGACCTTCCGCACAACAGACCGACGCTCTTACCAACTGAACTAAACAAACGGAGCTACTCGTATGACGGTTAATGTAACACAACCTTCGCCAACCTATTTTCATAGCTGTATACGGAGTTTGGTAAAAGTAAGCATAATTTGCTCTGTTTATATTTCAGGTCGATCTGTCAGCGCTGTTTACTACTCGTCAACAACCTATTCCAGATGAAGAACAGGTAATCTACGACATCTTTGGAAAATATAACAACAGGCCTCTAAAGCTTGGGTCTAGAATTTCACCATTTCGAATCAGGTGTCGCTCCTCTGGCTGAATTTCACACTTTCCTGAAATTTAACGTCCAGTTTCAAGGGGATTTGGGAAAAGTTAGCTTAACAAACAAGTATTTGAAAAGTCCTTGATTACATTCTTTTCAAATTCTAGAAACACTTAGTAACGGAATGGAACGAGGATCTGGATGGCATGGAATGCTTCGTCCTTGAAGGGAAAAAGTTTGTACGACTACCAGAAGAGGAGATAGGTAAGAAAGTCAAACAGTATCTACTGAGTAAGGAAAAGGGAATTCGTTTGCTTTGGGAATTGATGCCAGAGCCCTCTTGATTACTACAATGTTATGTGAGAATGAAGGGGAACAACTGGTGTTCCACACGGATCAGTTCTCGGCCCATTACATTTTTATTCTCTTAAATGAATTCAAAAACTGTCAAATCAAGCTAACTAGATATCCACTCATGTTTTTACGTAATGCACCAAAACTGTTGTACCACAAGGATCGGTTTTCGGCCCTCTTCACCTTTCGTTCTGACGGTTTTTATTGCTTTTTTTGTAGGTCATTTTTATAGCGGAGATTGTTACGTTTTTCTTTGTCGATACTGGGTGCCTGTTGAAGCCCCTGAAGATAATGAAGATGACGAAACCGATGATGAACCGGTCGAACAGGAAGAAGACTTCCAGTGTGTCGTGTATTTCTGGCAGGTGAGACTCAGCAAGGGTTAGGACTTGCAAAAGTACCCAGCTGACTAAAAAAAAATGTTAGCCAATCAGAATCGAGAAAATTTGCATAACTGAGGTGCCACTTTTCCTAACTTTTACTCAACAAGCAGTGAAATAACCTTGAAGAACCTTGATATAATCCATATTGTCGTTTTAACACTAGGGACGCGATGCCAATCAGATGGGCTGGTTAACGTTCACATTCAGGTAAACCAATTAGTACAAATATTTTTCTTGATCCATTGAATAGAATAGTACCCTTCACAGTTCCCTGCGCCATCTTGAAAGGTAGGCGTGCCTTTGCATCGAAGTTAGACGAACGGTGACCTTGCAATAAAAGAGACGTGAATAATTGTCCAAGGTGTTAAAAAGGTCTCTATCATTGCACGCTCACCGTTCGTCTCGTTTCGATGCAAAGGCACGGCTACCTTTCAAGATGGCGCAGGGAACTGTAAAAGGGAATATTCTTTCATTTTTTAGTCTCTTGGAAAGGGCTGTTCTATCCGTATAATTATAAAATCAGTTTCTTTTCTCATCTCTGATTTTACTTCTTTTTGATCAAGATTTTTTCTCTTAGCCTGCAGAAAAAATTCGAGTCCTTATTTGGAGAGAAGCTAGAAGTTGTCAAGACACAGCAGGTAAGTTGACTTTTGTTTTGAGAAAATAAAAATCTCGCAGAAAGACCGTGCCGTGGCGTGACCGTGACGTGACGTGAGCGTGTCGTGACCGAGACCGTTACATCGCCGTGGCAGAACATCCTTATTGGATCAGCGGTAGCCAGGCGGGCTGTATTGTTTCTTCGGATCCTTCTTTCCATTCCGTGCCGTGACCGCGTGCTTGACGACGCAGTGTAAAAACATCTGATTGGATAAGAATTTGCCATCATCCTACACGTTAAACACGTCAGTAGGCCTGGGCTACCTGTGGTGATATCTATGTATGCAAGACATAATAACTTAAGTTCTCTATCTGTTTTATTCCAGCAACAAGAAAATCCCAAATTCATGGCTCATTTCAAGGGCAAGTTCATAATCCACTCTGTAAGTAGAACATAGACGTTATGTTGGCCTGACTTAAATCAGCCCAGACGATGATAAATTTACTGTTTCAGAATCCGCTTAATAGACCTTTTCGACCACGTGTTATTTGTTTGAGTTGTATCAATATCTATGTGTCTTCCCATGCATAACTGTTGAACAAAGAAATGATACTGTAGGGAATGACACGTGGTCTGAAGTGGGAATACATTACTCCCAAGCCGAAAAAGTTTATAGAACGTAATGTTTTCCCATTTCGGACCACGTGTCATTGTCCCGAGAATATAATTCTTTGTTTGAGTTGTAACCATATTCATGTTTCTTCTAATGCGCAACCGTTAAACGAATAAATGATACTCTACGTAATGACACGTGGTCTGAAATGGGAAAACATTACGCCCAAGCCAAAACGGCCTATGGGACGTAATATCCCATTTCAGGCGTGTCATTCCCTTGAGTATCATTTCTTTGTTTATCGGTTGCGCATTAGAAGACACATGAATATGGATACAACTTAGAAAAAGAATCTTATTTTTAAAAGAATGACACATGGTCTGCAATGTGGAAATATTACTTGAAAGTTCGTTGACCCATCCCTATGTTTCCAGGGCAAAAGAAAGCAAGTCCTACCGCCAGACCAGAAACCAAAACCAGAATTATACCACATTCGATCAAATGGAGGCATTCTCGCCAAACGGGTTATACAGGTATGTAAACTCGTGTCCGAAAATAGACCCGTTTGGAAATTCCAAATAACCGCTGTGTTCCTTGATTACAGACTCATTTACACAAGGTTAGCCTCGTATCAGTGTCTAAATATTCACAAATACCAACGGTAAAGTAAACAATGTACGACTTGAACAATACAAACATTTTGGAATTCCACTGACCTTCACTGGAACACATGAATATTCTACACAAAGTTGAGGCTAACCCTGAGCAACAGAGAACTCGAATCTGGAGTATTGAATTCAATCAAGCACTCTCACCTTTTTGTCGTTTGTGCCATACATCCTCACTTAGGGCATCATAGAGATTATTGCTTAAAATGCCCATGCGCAAACGTAGGGGCGCCTCTCTTGAGCATGCGCAGTTGATAACTGTAACGTAGACATTTAATGAGGATCGTGTAGCTGTAGTGCACTCTTCTCTCACCTCTGGAGTCTGTGGGGTCTATACAACTCTTGCAGCACGTCGGCATGCAGCTCAATTTGGAGGACATAACAATAGGTTTCCAATTCACAGGAGATTAAAATCCTTTTGTTTTGTCCTCCAAATTGAGCTGCTTTGACATCACGTTCAAGGGGGGCTATTCCTGGGCTCGGCATCACATGTGAGGAGAGTTTGATAGGTGTCTCAAGGCCATAGTTGCTTCTCAAGAAACTATTTGATTTTGTAAACAATACTAAACAAAAGCGCAACTAATACTCTTGCTTTTTTGGTCAGATTGAAGCTAATGGGTCGCTATTGAACTCCGAGTTCTGGTAAGTCAGTCTAGTATCAGAGGAGGAATTTAACACCGATCGTGCGAACCTGCAACGTTACTGGCAAATGTTTAATGTAAACTAGGCCGCTTTTAGGTAATGATTTTCTATTTTAGACCACGTGTTATTCCCTAGAGTATCATTTCTTTGTTTAATGGTTGCACATGCGAAAACTCAAACAAAGAATCTTAGTCTCAAGAGAATAACATGTGTCTGAAACGGGAAAACATTACACCCAAGTCGAAAGGTCTATTCACTTTTGCATAAGATCTTATCTTCGCTGAGCATCAACAATCTTATTATCAGGAGAATGACACGTGGACTGAAATTAGAGAGCATTAGAGGTCTATTGCCTTGTGTATAGGCTCACAAAATGTATAATGATAATGTGTACCTTATTAAGATCTTATCTTCTTTTTACAGTTACATCCTAAAAGTTCCCTTTGAGAATTACGCCGAGGATGGCATCATATATGTCTGGATAGGCTCGTAAGTATACCTTAAAACAGGAACCCTTACCCCAGATAGGTAGTCCCCAGGATGCTATAGCGTACCTACTTCACTACAGACTTATTTGTACATGGATAACTCCCACTCCCCCTTCTTAAAATAAGTGTTCCCTTAGATTGATTTGGTTTTTATTTTTTAATATTTATAATAATTTCTTTATATAGTAAGGTCAACGAAGCCGATGCTGAACATGCTAAAGAACTTGGAAAAGAAATCTGGGATGTAAGTATAGTCGTGAGGAAGAGAGAGAGGGAAAGGAAAAGTAGGGGACGAGGATGGAAAGAGAAAAATAGAACTGTCAACACCAGCAATGTATACGTTTTTTAAGGAATGCTGATTTTTTGTTTGTTTGTTTGTTTTGTTTT